CGCACTCGCAGCGAATACCTCATCAAAACGATAATCGAAGGACGCTGCTGCTGGGGGCGGAGCACAGGCCGTCAGAAAGGAATGGCAAGCCCAGTACGCTGCAACTAGCGCACCTTTGGCCACAAAAACGCAACATTTCGTTTCCTTGGGCCCCTGACTACTGCTTCCAATGGTGCATGTACTTCCACGCTGCACACACTTTATCGTAATCTCTCGCTTTAAGTTCAGCCCCTAGTCATCCGGAATCGTCGCGTATCTTGCTCCAGAACTAATCTCGCGCAGGGAGCTTGCCATTATCTTGACCTATATATCTCCATGTGTTAGAGGACATTGATGTAAAATTTTCTCAACAGGCTGATGAAGCGCCATTCCTGGAAATGAAAAAACGGCTGGATGAAGCGGTGAACAATATTTCTATTATGGATGTGTTTGTAAAGAAATGGATGCTTGACATTCCATTCATCAACAGATGGTGGAAACCTTTGCTAGAGCCAACTTATGCATTTAAGGAGTTTCTCAAGAAGCAGGTTGAAGAGAGGTTTGAAGCAACATCATCTTTTATTTCATTTGAGGACTTTTTGGCTATACATATCAAGCAATGTCGTTATCGTACTTCTCTTTGTAATTCGATAGCTACATGCTTTGAACGTAGCTCTGCAGAAAGCAGACGGTACACCTGTGGAATGATTGCTATCAAAATTTTTCAAGGAAGAAAGCTATCGAAAACGGCACTCACCTGCTGGACACCGAACCACGGGACTACGTAGATGCGTTCATTCTCAAAATGAAGGAAGAGGCTATGAATGGCGTGATGGACACAACGTTCGAGTGGGTGATTTGAATGATTTTTCCTCTCCTGATTCCTACTTCTTTCCGTTTCTGAGTTTTGTAAAGAGGTCTAAGGTGTAAGGGGGTATTGAATGCTGGCAGCTGGCATCATACAACTGAACACAAGGGGCTATTACCTTAAGCCCCCGGTTCGGTATCCCAATCTAATCATACGCTCGGCACCTGTTCTGAATGTTGATGAGATACGAGTGCGCTTCCGCAACTCCACTTTGATTAGCTATTGTCACTGCGATTAGGCATTATGAGTGCACCCCCCCCCCCGAACTACATTTCCACCAAATAATCTCCGAACTGATTTCGCTAAAAGATCACTTGAAAGTGGTTGGAATTTCTGCTCAAGCGGCAGCCCCCGCTTGAAGATCGATATCATCGCCAAAACCTACTGACGCAAATATATGCGGAACATCTGAGAGCTCTTGAAGAGGAACTAGTGGCTAGTACCCCGTCAACCTGCGGTGGCCTTCCATAACTCCCGGAGCATCATGAGCCGTGCCGTCCGAGCCATGAGAAAAGAGGAAAAATAGAGAAGTTGATATTTTCACTAGTTGGATGAGGTTGCTCGGAGGACACGTGTGAGTATCTTGCAATGTTCGCTTTTTAAAAGTCGTAGCGTCAATCAGCATGACAAGGGGTCACTGGGGTTCAAAAGTGGCGGCATGGCAGCACTGCAGCCACAACGGGCTCAGGAGGTGACTCCTACTCGAAGTACGTTGCGCTCCCTGAATTTGACTTGCCTCATGACGGACCTTCACCACTGCTTGCGCAGACCCCCTAGCAGACGCATGGGGTGCCTGACGGGCGAAAAGTGAAAAGTTCAAGAAACAAGGGGTAAAACAGGTAATAGCGAGGCTTGCTACTTCTCGAAACACATACGGCCTATACACAACGAGGAAGTACATATTCATCTCTTGTTCTGGGGTGCCAAATTATTGCTGTTCCAGCAAATATCATGCACATATAAAAACGATATGCATAGCGCAACAACCTAATAATTTCAGTGTGATGCATGACATATGGTTTTTTTCGTTTTCATTTTATACAAATTTTCGAGAATTCAATATAAGAAGAACATGATTCGATGTAATTTAGCCAAGAAGAGGCTCATTCTCTGCGATCTCCTAACTCATAGTGCAAGTCACTTATGACTCACAATTATTTCACTATTCTATTTACACTGCTAAATCTAGTTATTTACATATGTATTTTTGATCTGATTTCAGTGATGAAACACTAGCCGTAAACTTGCTAGATCTATGGTCAGCTGGGCAAGAAACGACCACAACCACTCTCTCATGGGCAATGATATATCTTCTCAACATCCCCAGGTGACGCTCCTGTCATGCAGTTAGGTGGAAATCATCCAAAAAATATTATATCTCGAAATTCAGGTTGTTCACAAGCTAAGAGAAGAGTTGCTCAGAGTCACTGGAGGCTCAAGATCGCTTACGCTCAGAGATAAAAACGAAACTCCGTACCTGATCGCTACTATTGCGGTAGGACTATAACTTTCTCGTTGCTGTCGAGTAAATATTCAATGGTGTCTTCCCTTTACTCCAAATGTCAGAATCAACTAATGCGACCACTACAGCGCAGCGCTTGAAAGCAGGCTCAACCGCACGTTGCTCATTTCCCAAAAAGGGTTAGTACTGGTTTGAGGCCATGCTGATCCCAAAATCTGCTGAACACAGTGGATGAATCTGGTTGGAGAGGTCGCTACGCATAAGGCTAAGTTATTCAATCGTGGGGCTGTTCTCCAGTTGCCTTGAAGGGACAAGGTCGAGAACAATTTTCTTTGAGCCGTTTCTGGAATTCAGAAAATAAGTGGTAAGATGGTCCAGGGTTCTTCATATATTAACTGGGGATGTGTAAAAATTATCCCCTAAACCAATATCTCACCTGTTTTCTTGGGAAACTCAGACAAGGTCAACATCTATTAGGTCCACAGAAGAACATTGCTGTGGTGGTTCTAGGCAGCCCTTCTTGAAATTATCCCTTGTTATTGCTCTTGCTCGCCCTTTCCAGTGACCACCCTTGCACCGCTGAAGTCAGCCGGCGCACGCTTTCTGCCTTAACAAGGGTATAAATAGATGTATTTATTCAAATCGACCTATGACTGACAAGTTTCTTGAGTCTTGTCCTAATCGAGGCGAAGGCACCGTCGTCTAGATGAAGATCTTGTCCCAGAAGAGGTCTGCACGCAGATCTTGACAGGCTCGTACCACAGACGTTCCACTTCTAAGTCCATCCTCTGGTTTTATACCACAGACGTCGGCGGAGGCACATAAGTATGTAAGCATAACCCTGAAGAAAAACGTTTTCTCAAGCGATAGAATGTAAGCATAGCTAAGATCCGCCAAGAGTTAGCGAAACTGAGAAACTACAAGGCGGATGACTAATAGCAAAAGAAGAAAGAAAACTTCTAACCATTTAAGTGCATTTAGCAACAATTGTTGCTTCTTCTCTGAATGGTTTTCAACTTCATCGAACAGTGTAATGCTTACCGTTAAATAAAATTAGGGAAACGGATCATACCACCAAATCTCTGCTTTTCTTCCATCACCAGCGAGTTTTGCCATAGTGACCAACTGATATGTGACCATCAAACTTGCTTCATTAGAAACAAGCTTCGAAGAACTAATGACTCTTCCTTATCTGAGAATGATCAGTAATCTTGCGCTAATTGTCAGTTCCAACCTGCATATCTGAAGCTTTTTTGCTTTCTCTTGAATCCTTTCCTGACAAAATAGAGTTTCGTCGTCTGCTATGTATGCCACACAGGTTGTTTATGCCGGAGTAGCATCTATTGGTCGTTCTTCGAAAATTCGCATTTTCGCGAACCAATCCTGCGCTCCGGCATTCCGCCGTACCACCCTGTATGACATACGCGAACAACAACACGGAATGATACATTATACGAAGCTTTTCCAATAAAATACGATATACAGGGAGGTATAAAAGGATAAAGGATAAAGCATTTGCCGTTGATCAATCCCTTTTTGGGATGCGGCACGCATTCTACTTCCATTTGTACATTCGCAGTGGCGTTTGAATGCGATGTGGCCTATACAATGACTTGCGGGGCCAGCCGATGTTCAAGTCAGTTTTTATCCTCCCAGACAAGTCTGGTACCAATTAACCGACCCCGGAGGGATGGAAGGGGGGGGGGGGGGGGGGCAAAAAAAGAGTCACTTTGCCCATGGCGCACATCATCAAATTTTTCGTCGCACAGGATGCCGTTGTTGATGAATGTTTTACGGCAGAATATTCCTTAGGTGTCCCCCAAAGCAGAAGCAGGCCCTCCTTCACTGCCCCACCGTCTTCAGAATATGACGTCATCTGCCGTCACCGTCGAGCTCAACGAGGCTTACCGTAATCGCTCCGGCCTGAAGCTGCTACATAATTTCTTCAATGGATAATTTTCGTGAAAAAGGCCACTCAGCCGACGTCCCAAAATTATACGTCCACCTCACGTTTATCGATTACTTTTCACTTCTGTTCCACGAAACTTTTTCATTGTGGTAACACTTCACTTCTTAAGGGAACAGCATAATAAAGACTGCTGTTGGATTTTGAGAAAGGGAAGGTTGTCGCAAAAACTGTTGAACAACGCAATCGCACCAGATTTGGACCAAATTCACGCCAAGCTCAAGAATTTTCTTCAGGGGTTTCACATGATATGGAAGAAGAGCTCTAAAAGTCTCTCATTACTTTTCGATAGAAACAAAGGCCGTGTCACAAAGAAACATCCTCTTTACCAAACCGTGCTCTCTCACAAAGAAACATCTACTTTCTATCCAGCGGTGCTCTGCATCGAATCTTCTTCAGAACTTAATGCCTCAACGGAACAATGTTTCATGCTTGTGAAGGAATCCCAAGTTGATTCTTGAGTGGAAAATGTGGAAGGCATCATCTGTGGCAAGGAAACCATGGCGAAAATTGGGCTGATTTTTGCATGAAGGTGCAGCCGAGCCGACTGAAGTAAGGTTCGCTTCTGCCTCGATATGTTTTGGCATTTGTTTGTTTTTCTTCTCACGTTTACCTTTCCCTTAATGGCTTTTTTCTTAGTGAAGCACTACTAAAAGAAAGAAAATGTTGAAAAGAAAGACAGACAAACACTCATGCATAGCAAGGAAAAAGGACCCTGCTCCAGTCGGCTCGGCTGCACCTTCATGCAAAAATCAGCCCAGTTTTCGCCACGATTCCTTGCCACAGATGATGCCTTCCACATTT